TACATTAATTCAAATACATTTTACTTTGCAGTCTAAAATTAATAGCACTTGGCAATTGTTGTGAAATACAACTGGCTTAAGACAGAGCAGACAGCCAATGGCTGAAAGTGGTTGGTCTGATTGGTTGTTTTGGAGGTGGCTGACAGCCTGCTGAAGGACCCTGTGCAAACGCCACCACAAACATAAAGGCATTAAGTGTCACAGTGCCAGGCTCACAGACACATCTCCTCCTCTGTTTTCACAACTTTTCTTTTTCTTTCTCTTCTCGAATCGCGAGTGTCCAGCGCAGCACGCTTTTTCCAAAGTTTCAGCCTCCGATGCTGACAGGCCGCTGTTGAGAACGGCGCAGATGACTGCAGAGAGACACACGTGTGTAGCTTGGCAGGACACCGCTCGTGAGAGCTGCTCTTGCGAGCGCCTGAGAGGCTGTCTTTGCAAGCTCGGCTGAATGAAACACCTCAACCTCACACTAATGAAAAGAAACTCTTATTTCCTCCCGTCGTTTTATGTTCAAACGCATTTAAATCACATCTGTCGGTTGTCAGACAGAGTGGCCTGCGTTTGCTACCGAATGAGCTTAAAAAAATAAGACACCAAACAGTACACCATGATAAAAATCACAGCGGCGCGACACTTTGAACGTGTCAAGAGGATCTTCGAGTCCATTGTGAGAGGAGAAATTGCTAAAAATACATGCCTTGCCACACGGCAATGTGCAACGGGCAGCTCCGGCGACAGAGACGTCGGGGTTATGAATGTTATGTGAAGCTGGGGCACAGAGGCCCCTCTGTCCCCCCTCTCACCGGAGAACCTTACAGAATGACTGGGCTATGCTGCACCACTGACAAAGATAAATTACATTAGCTGGAAAATATTTCAGCATTTTTCCCCTCCCCTACCCTCTCGACTTGTCTCCCATTTTTTTATATTTTAAAGAATTTCGTTGTTTTTTGGCCCACATCCACCAGTGTGCCATGGGTCCTTCTGCCATGAAGTGAGATGCACACACTATGCCCGTGTGCTTTATCATGAAATTCATATTCTTCTCCAGTGTTTAAGCACGGAGTCGGCAAACAGAGATCTGGACAGATTAAGAAAAGTTGAGAGCTATCAAATCTAGTTGATTCCAAGTAAAACTTTTAAGCTGTTCATATTTCAACATGCATCTAAGTACACTGTAAAAAAATACTGGGATCCACATAATTTCTTCATATTGTCCCAACACAAATCGATTAAGCAAACCAATTTTTTTTTTTACAAATTAAAGTGGATTGACTATAAAACAGTTAAATTGTCCCACCAAAAAACCTTAAAAATTGTGTTATCTCAACTCATTTTAAATAAGTAGTTTGAATAAGCAGCAAAAGTCAGCTAATGTTTTTCAGTGCACAGTGTAATATTAATTACCAACATGTATTTCAAATTAGGATATTTTTTAGTTTATTTTTTTATTTATTTATGTTGTAATTATGCAAATTTGCTCTTATTACATTTTAGAAGCTGTGGTATATACCATGTGGTAAATTTAGAATACAGCAAGTGTGGTACATACATTCAAAAAGGGATTTTTGCTGCATGTTTAAACTACTTATTTAAAAAGAATTGAAATTAAACAACTCTTAGGGTTTTGGGTTGGGTGGGGGGGGGGGGGGGTTTCGGGGGCAACTTAATTGGTTTTTGTTCAATCCACTTCAGTTTTTAAAAGCGATTAAACTAACTTAAGTGATTTGAGTTGGGAGAACATGAACAAATTTAGTGAACCCAGCATTTATTACACTGTATAACATATTTCAGTGTTACTTCTTTGTTTTTAAATCAAAAAGTTTTAACCAGTATTCAAATCGCCAAATCTTACAGAAATTCAACATCTAACAAAACACACTGTGTATAAAAAATTCTAAATTGCATGAAAAATGCATCAAAAGGGCTCTTGCATGTTGGGATGAACCCTCTTCCAATTGTTTTAACTGTTCTGTGGTTTCTTATCTTTCCTAAAATGTGCTCTATTTCCCAAAGATAATGACCAAAGTGGAAGTGTTTAAATGTTTAAAGGGGGAAAGGCCAGAAGCTCCCTGCTAGACCACCCAAAATCTAAAGTGAGTTTATATGAAGCAGGAGTCACCTTTACCCATCTGATTTCTCCTGGAACAGCACCTCTTTTATGTTCGCAGCGTGATATGTTGCGCACATTCAAGCGGCAAACACACACTCTCTGACCTGTCTGTCATCGCAGCCTCCTCATGGCCACCTCTGCCATCCTTCACAGCTTTCTATCATCTGCTTGCGAACAAATATACAATAAAATATAGCTTTCCTCGTATCATGCAAATGCACACAGACAACAACTCTCTGGACTATTTCCAGCTTTACACACAGACTTTTCAGCATACATAATAATTACTGTGTGTTCGGTACATACCACGTAAGCCCACAGCAGATCTTTAGAACAGAGAATACTGAGCTGAAAAATTCAATTTTATGCAGAAATATTCTTTTCACAATATAATTAAACATCAAAGGCAGGACTATTCCTCTGTGATTGAGCAGCACTCTAGTGAATCAACTCCACACACCACCTTCCACTTTACAGCGAGAAAGAAAGTTGCCAAGCGTCACTGCTAATTACAAAATAGAGACAGAAGCGAAGTTAAATTCATTATTCAAAAACCAGGACAGACTCGTATGCGCTCGTATAACGCCAAACATCATAACCTCTTTGAGGGTAAAAATGACTTATCTGAAGCTGCTTTATTTGCTTTATTAAACTAATTTTTAGCCTAGTAAATGAAGCTGAGAGGGTATGGGGGAAAAAAAAAACGAAATGAGAAAATATTTGACTTCATTAAACTCTAAATTAACACACTGCTCTGTAATAAAATGGGCTGATATTACTTTTTAGTATTATTGCTGAAGAGTTACAATGACAACAAAGACTTTTTCTTTGCCTCTGAGCTGGTAGACAGTGGCAAATGTTTGTTTAACACTTTAAATGACTTTTTAGAAATAAAATTAGATTAAAGACTATTACTTAGAATTAAACACTATAATATTTTTCGCATAATTATTCCCTTTGTTTAAAGATGAACCATCATTTATCACACTGCACATGCTTTCTGTAAGTGAGGGGAAAAAAGAAGTCTAATTCACAGATCAACTGAATTTTCCTTGCACTTTTTTTTCCCAGGGCAAAGCTGAAGACAATGCAGCCTAGTTTGAATGTGAGCTTCGGAGGGGCACACAAACTGTGCCTGAAGATGCCCCTAACAATCGGCTCAAGTACCTCAGCCAATCAGAGTGACACGTGGAGAGCTGATCCCTCTTTGAGAGAAGTGTAAGGCCATGTTGTCACTGTTGGTTTTGTGAATCGACAGAAGCCTAATCCCCGGTGATTTCCTAGAGACGACAGGTCTGAGGAGGACCGCTCGTGTTTGTGTGTGCGTGTTACTGTGCGTATGTGTGCTCGGCTATGAGAGGACCCTCTGAGTGTAATCATACGAGTCCACATGCGAGTGTGTTCATTTTCCTCTTGGGCAGATTAAGCAAACACTAAATCCCAGGAGAGCAACAGGTGAGACACTCACACATGCGTGCATACACACATAAATAGGAGCTTCATTGATTGTGTTTGCCTGTCCGACAGGATAGTCTAAAAAAGAGTGCACTTGAGGTAGAAGTGACAGAAATACAATATGTGATGCCTTCTTGTGTGGATAATTGGAACTTTATTTTAATTTTTGAATAAACTTAGTATATATAAAAATTTACAATCTAACTTCTTAAATATTTTACCAAAAAAAGATCTTTTTTTCACGGTTAAGTTCAGGGATGCACAAAAAATCTGTTAAGGAATAAAAAGTGCCAAAAAGTAATTTTCTTGTTAATTGAACAATCACATTGATTAATTTACAGCCGTATCTGTCTTCACCTTTACTTGTAAAAGTATGCAGGTAGTCATAATTTTGCAACCAGCATCTTAATTAGTCATTTCAAAATGTAATTAGATTCCAACAGCTTCTTACAGTAGCTCTTGAAATAGTGATATAAAAAGTGTTCTTCACACAGATTTAAATCATATACATATTTAAAAGCATATATCTACAGACAAATTCACACTTTTGTGCCTTAATGAAATGCACTTGCACTTTCTGAAATATCTGATAGACACTTGACTGTTCCTATTAACTGTCCCTTCTATATATATATATATATATATATATATATATATATATATATATACTTTTTATATATACTTTCATGTCTTTTTTATTTAGAAAACAACAAACAAGGTCTATTTTTATTACGCGTAAAACTGAAATTATGCTCGCATCTCAGTTTAAGTTAGACAGGGTAGTTTATTTAGACTTATACTTACAATTGGTACTTACTGTGATTTCATTTATTTATTTATTTTTTATATCTATATTATTATTGTTATTACTGTTTTATTTATTATTTTATTTCCCAAAGTGACTTTAGTTTTATGTTGAGATTTATCAGCACAAAGTTTCACAATGGTCTAATTTAGTCTGTAGCGCCTGATCTACCTGGATGTAAACAGACAACAGAATTGACACGAGGGAAAGTTCATCATATTTGAACGGCTCTTAATTCAACCCTGCGGTCTCTCGTCTGGTGACCCTCGGACCTCCACACATCACCGCGCACATCTTTTAGCAAGAACAAGAACAATAACAGCAATTTTCATAAACGACCGCTGTAAAGCGTGTTGACTAATTCTCTGAGCTGATTAAGCACTTTAAAAGACCCAAACAAACGCACGCGCTTTATTTAAAAATAACCCTTAGTGATTCTTCAGACAGTGCTCACAGCAATAACGTGTGTTGTCGTGTCAACTTTCCTAACGGAGCTACTGTAACTCTCCCTTGTGGTCTCGCGAAATAACGGAGATGTTAACTCAACTGTTTACTTAACAACAATGTAAAATAATGTATCAACGACCGAACAAGCACGCGCCGGTGTCCGGTATCAGTGTCACTTACTTCATGGCGCGTCTGAAGTGTGTCCGGTGAAGTTTGTCCTGCGGTGTGACGGAAGGTGTTGAGCCGCCGGGTGGACTTCACCGCTCCACTCTTAAAATCCAGCAAACATCACCAGCAACACCGACCAAAAAGTGTCGTTTTCAAAACGCGTGTTTCTTTTTACGGGTCTAAAAAGCGTTTCAGATGCTGAGGTTGTGTCGGTCGTCCACGGTGAGGAATGATTAAGCCGTTATTGCGACTGATGATGTTGAGCTCCGCGTCTCTCTCTCTCTCTCTCTCTCTCTCTCTCTCTCTCTCTCTCTCTCCCTCTCTCTCTCTCTACGCAGGGCAAATAATCGGGTTTACTCTTGAAGGGGGACGGGCTTACATCACTCCAGTGTTTTAATGAAAGAAGCGCAACACTAATGCGTTTTTATCTCCTACCTGATAATGTCAAATCACACTGTGTATAATCTAAGTGTGAAGTGAAACAGTGGTAGATTTAGCTTTGTGACTTTTAACTTCATTTGTAGGCTACCCAGAGAGCTTTTTTTCAAGACATTTTAGCAGATCAGTTCATAGAGCTGAATGGCAGCCTATATTTTAACACATTGTTATTAAAACTTTAATAGTCTTGTCTGCATCTATGTCACCTACAGTCTTTTAACATCAATTAAACCTTTTGGTGTAATTCCACAAAACTTCTTTTAAGTGAAATAGATCTTTAGATGGTATTTTTCATGTACTGAACTGTTTACAATTTTTTTTTTGGTAAATGGTTTACATATTTTAAGGTTTTACTTAATTAAGCACTAATATTTTAATTGACACTTTTATTTTATTTATTTTTTTAAACCAACAGTTGAGTTTCCATATTTTACCCTGATTTAGGTTGAAACAGACAACTGAATTTTAAATGCTCAACTATTTAAAGAGTTCAGATGCAAAAACAAAGTGTCCTCTGAACTTTCTTCTAAAATTAGCATTTTTCTCAGACTCCTGTTTTTATTTAGTAATTTCCTTTTTATGGCAAATAATAGATGATTTTCAGCTATTTTAACATGAATTAACTGAACATAAACATAAGGCAGAGTAAAATGCATATTGTAGAAGAAAATTCTAAATGGCACTTAGATGTTTTTGCATCTGAACTTTATTTATTTATTTATTTATTTATTTATTTATTTATTTATTTATTTATTTATTTATTTATTTTTATTTATTTATTTATTATTTATTTATTATTTATTTATTTAATTATTTATGATTATTTTCACTTACTCAAATCATTAGCAAATTGACAACTTGCTGTGATATGTTGTTCACATTTCAACAAATTTGTGAACGTTTAAGTATTTTTAAGATTGCTGATAATTAATAAGCTCTAAAATTTTAATTCACGTTTTTATGTTGAACTATTCATTCATTCATTCATTCATTCATTCATTCATTCATTCATTCATTCAAAATATTAGCAAATTGACATCCTGCTGCAATATGTTCCTTGCATGTTTTCAACAAATTTGCACTGTAGAATCCAGTTTCATTCATTCATTCATTCATTCATTCATTCATTCATTCATTCATTCATTCATTCATTCATTCATTCATTCATTCAAAATATTAGCATTTTGACATCCTGCTGTAATATGTTCCTTACATGTTTTCAACAAATTTGCACTGTAGAATCCAGTTGGAATATTGTAAAGAAAATAAATTAAGAAAGTAATTCAACTGATGGAAACAGTGATGTTAAAAGAATAATAAAATCATGTTGGTTATCATTTTTTATAAACATAAATATATTTTAACCCAACATATGGCTTTGTGTTTTCATTTTGCTTTTAGTAGGTGTTAGTCCTTTTTTATTTTCAAGCAGTTCTAGTTATTTGGGAAACCACATCTACAGTACATAACAGCGCTCTAATGAAACTAGATCTGAAAAATCTATAAAATATCAAAGTATTTAAAAAAAATCACAATAAGTGAAAATGTCTAAATCACTTTGAGCCATATACATCTGCATATATTACTCTCCTCTCACAGAGATGCTCTTCACACCATATATTTAAATGAGTTTCCTTTGACTTGATTTAAGTACTATAACATGTGCTAAACATGAATAAATCACAGACAGATCTGTCCCACAATGGAATAATTTAAATTAACGTATAAAGTAATCAAAAGAGTAAGAGTTAAAAAAAAACAAAAACACTCATTACACTGTTAATGATTTATGTAACACAGTATTTAACTGTAATGAGAACTGATTTTTACTGCAGGACAGTTATCCGGTGTTGCTGTATTTTAAAGTTGCAATTGTGAAAATGACTGTTTTTTACAGTAAAGATATACACTACTGTAAACACATACCAAGGAAGTGATGGAGCGGTAAACACAGCTATTTTGCTGTAATCGATTTACAGTAAGTTACTGACAAAATGAATTGTAATATGACCTGAACTTTACTGTAGGACAGTTATGCAGTATGTTACTGTATTTTAAAGTTGCATTGTAAAAATTACTTTATATTTTACAGTAAAGATATAGATACAATACTGTAATAAATACTTGAAAAGCAAGATAAATGGTGCTTTAAATGCAAATACAGTATTTTTTACTGTCATTAATTTACAGTGAGTTACTGGTGAGCTGCTGCCAGTAAGTTACTGTAGATTCTACAGGAAATTGTTAACAGTGCATGTCAAAGACCACCTTATGAATGTTCAGATATAAACACAACCCAAAATTGTCATCATTTACTCATTTGATTGTATCAACCCTTTATGAGTTTCTTTCTTCTGTTGGACACAGAGGAAGATGTTTTGAAAATTGTTGAAAACCTGTAACCATTGACTTCCATAGTATTTTTGCTTTTCCTACAATAGAAGTCTATAGTTACAGGTTTTCAGCTTTCTTAAAAATATCTTATCCCTTTAATATAAAGAGTTGATAAAGTAATGGAAACTATCTTATATTTTTTTCCATTTCCCCAGTAATCAGAATTTTTTCATGCCGATTTTTAGTGTTTCCTGAAATTCATAATGAACTTTAAACACCACTTGAGTCGCTGACAGACAAACCAGAGGCAGAGGTAAAACATGAAATCAGTTAATGAATTAATAAAGCCTGCTAATCTGCCTGACAGAATGTAACTGGAGCCAGTGCTATCAGCTTCCGTGGGATGCCTCTTCTGGGTCACAGGACACTCCGATCTTGAATTGCATTTTTATTGGTAATTTCAATATCTAGATCAATACAGCTATATGATTCCACATGCTGCGTTTCATCAGACTCACTATGCGTTCACAGTTTCTCACGTTCATCCGCTCAGTTATGAGTCAATGAAAACCTCTTTAGCCTCAAGATCGCTAGGCCGCAGTATCATTTTTACAAATTGCTGTGTCCATTTGAAAGCGTGAATATTATGCTATACCCACCACATTCACAATTTCTTCAGTTCTTGCAGCTTCGGCACAGAGCTTTTCCAGGAAGACCCTCTTAGGTTTCAGCGTGTGGTTTTGTTTGTTTAGTTGGCACCTGGTGAAGAGACACACAAAGAGAAAGAGAGAGAAATTCTTTCTGTGTTAATAGCTATATCTAGGCACGGCGTTCAAGACACACTGCATGGCTGGGGGAAGTACAAAAGGAATAAATAAATATATAAACACTGTTATTGAGCTGCCTCTTGCATATTCATGCGCTAGGTAAACTAGATAAAGAACAGGAAGAGGAACAGAAACAACTGTAACTACAGCAACTATAGCTCTCACCATTGATATTGACCTGGCTGATTTAGATCTGCATGAGCATTCGCAGTTTTAAACCACAAATAGTCGTTTGCCCCAGATATCGCCTTTTCTAAGATGCAGAGGACAGATTTTGTTACACATCTGCAAGTAAATATTTACATTTAGTTCCTGTCATTTCCTGCCATTCTTTTTCTCACTCCCCTGTTCTCTCTCTTTCACTCGCTCTCTCTTTGACCAGTTCAGATCTCAGATTGCAGCCCTCATCATACACTATCATGTTTAGGTTAAAACTTCTACAGAGAGAAATTTTATATGGATTTTTTGCTCTCTATCTCTCACTGAGAAAGCTTAAGAATTTTATTCATTCATTCATTCATTCATTCATTCATTCATTCATTCATTCATTCATTCATTCATTCATTCATTCATTCATTTTCTTTTCAGCTTAGTCCCTTTATTAATCCGGGGTTGCCACAACAAAATAATCCGCCAACTTATCCAGCATGTTTTTACACGGCAGATGCCTTTCCAGCCACAACCCATCTCTGGGAAATATCCACACACACTCATTCACACTCATATACACTACGGACAATTTTAGCCCACCCAATTCACCTGTACCATATATATCTTTGGACAGTGGGGGAAACCGGACCACCCAGAGGAAACCCACACGAACGCAGGGAGAACATGCAAACTCCACACAGAAACGCCAACTGACCCAGCCGACGCTCGAACCACCGACCATTCTTGCTGTGAGGCGACAGCACTACCTACTGTGCCACTGTTTCACCTAGCTTAAGCATTTGTCAAATTTTTTATTAAAATTTAAAATAAATAGCCTATATTTGTAGAGCTTAACAATAAAAAATGATAAGATGATAAATTGTTATACACTTATATAAAGAGCATTTTGAGACAATAAGATATTTTACAATGTAATGATCTACAAAATCATTAAGCCTACAACGACTTCAGCTTTCATTGAGCTTCATAATTTGCCAAGAAGTATTAAAAGAACATAATTTGGATACAATTAATGGTGTGTTTTTGTAATGCAGATACACACCATGAAAAGGTGAAATCATCAAATATTTAAGATCTACTATATACTTACTTAACTACCGCACAGCCCAGAGGGTGCTTTTTGATAATCACATAAACTGTTCACTATAAGTTTTTATGATTAAACACACTTTTTGATCCTGTTGACTGACCTTTCACAAAGTGGCAAGAGGTTTCCTTCTTATTTAAATACTTAAGTAAAATAGTACCTATTCCTATTATGAACCTTATTTGGTATGTTTATATAAAAATGTAATGGTACAATCAAAATCTGAACCATAACTCCAAATGGCAAAAGTTAAAAGTTATATCAAAAGTTATTTCAAATGATAAGTATATTATATAATCATACATTATATTTTAGATATCCATTCATTCATTTTCCTTTGGTTTAGTCTGTTTATTTTACCACAGCGGAATGAACCGCCAACTTATCCAGCATATGTTTTACAAAGCAGATGTCCCTCCAGCTGCAACTCAGTACTGGGAAACACCCATACACACCCATTCCACACATATACAACTGTCAGTTAAGTTTATTCAATTCACCTAAAGTGCATGTCTTTGGACTGTGGGGGAAATCCAGAGAAAACCCACGCCAAAACGGGGAGAACATGCAAACTCCATATATAAACTGGCCCAGCCCGGGTTTCTTGCTGTGAGGAGACAGTGCTAACCACTGAGCCACCCTGCTATCTATATTTTATATAAATAGTTACAAATATTTTTGTTATATTTATAATATATAAAGTCAATAAGTATAGCCCTTCTGTGAATTTTTTATTCTTTATTTTTTAATTGTTCCCAAGTGATGTGTAATGTGTAAACACAGAATTCACAGAATAACCTATTATATATTTCACTTTGTAAAATCTCTTATTTCTTTTAGTTTGGCAGGAATAATAACTTTAAAAACACATTTACGGTAAAAACACCCTTAAGA